CTCCCTCGATCTGGGGCTCCACGCAAGATCTCACCCCGTGGGGTCAAAATGATCACAAGAACTGTGAGCAAAAATCCCAGAACCACACGGGGGGACCTAGTGAATGACCTGCAGAGAGCTGGGACCAAAGTAACAAAGGCTACCATCAGTAACACACTGCGCCGCCAGGGACTCAAATCCTGCAGTGCCAGACGTGTCCCCCTGCTTAAGCCAGTACATGTCCAGGCCCGTCTGAAGTTTGCTAGAGAGCATTTGGATGATCCAGAAGAAGATTGGGAGAATGTCATATGGTCAGATGAAACCAAAATAGAACTTTTTAGTAAAAACTCAACTTGTCGTGTTTGGAGGAGAAAGAATGCTGAGTTGCATCCAAAGAACACCATACCTACTGTGAAGCATGGGGGTGGAAACATCATGCTTTGGGGCTGTTTTTCTGCAAAGGGACCAGAACGACTGATCCGTGTAAACGAAAGAATGAATGGGGCCATGTATCATGAGATTTTGAGTGAAAACCTCCTTCCATCAGCAAGGGCATTGAAGATGAAACATGGCTGGGTCTTTCAGCATGACAATGATCCAAAACACACCGCCCGGGCAACGAAGGAGGGGCTTCATAAGAAGCATTTCAAGGTCCTGGAGTGGCCTAGCCAGTCTCCAGATCTCAACCCCACAGAAAATCTTTGGAGGGAGTTGAAAATCCGTGTTGCCCAGCGACAGCCCCAAAACATTACTGCTCTAGAGGAGATCTGCATGGAGGAATGGGCCAAAATACCAGCAACAGTGTGTGAAAACCTTGTGAAGACTTACAGAAAACGTTTGACCTCTGTCATTGCCAACAAAGGGTATATAACAAAGTATTGAGATTAAATTTTGTTATTGACCAAATACTTATTTTCCACCATAATTTGCAAATAAATTCTTTAAAAATCCTACAATGTGATTTTCTGGATTTTTTTCCCTCATTTTGTCTCTCATAGTTGAGGTATACCTATGATGAAAATTACAGGCCTCTCTCATCTTTTTAAGTGGGAGAACTTGCACAATTGGTGGCTGACTAAATACTTTTTTTCCCCACTGTATGTGCCTACCAATAGGGAATCAGCACATATGAACTACGTAACCCAAATAAAAGTGCTCATCTGAAAAGGGACGTAATGCAAGTAATGGGTCTGGTATCGAATTCTTCTGCTGAACTCGACTACCACTTGAGTGCTTTCTGAGCTATCAAGGGTGTTCTAGGGTTCACCAATATTGAGAACGTACCTGGACAAAGAGCACACATTATTGCCTCAGAGAGGGGAAAGGCATTAGGTGCAAGCTTTACACCTGGCCAGTTTCCAAATATGACCTGCTATAACCCAAATCTCCAGATGAAACCAGCTGTTTTCAGAGATTATGGAATCTAGTGAAAGTGTTGGGTGTAGCCCAGCCTACAGCTCTAAAAACGTCTGCCAGTAAGGAAGCATTCATTAAGACTGAAGGGTCTTCGATGCCCCTGGTGAAGTGAGCCCTCACTATCAGGCGACATGGTACCCCTTGGGCTTGACAGAATAGCATCCACAGTCTATTGGGCCGTTCTCTGTTTGGAGATAGCCTTCCCCTTCCACTGTCCTCCAAAGCAGACAATACCTACTTACATCTCCTAGTGTGCGGTCCAAGTATATGAGCAGAGCACATACTGGACACAACAGAGACAGGGATTTAGGTCTTAGAGGATTTAGTCTTTGTGCGCCTCTAAGGAACCTAATGCCATCCACGGTGTCATGGTGTGCCGCTATCGCAGACACGTTCACTTTAAGGGTGGAAATGTACAACCACTTCTTCAGACCCTCCTGAAGGAAGAAAAGCCCTGACACAATGCCACATCTCCATGGGTCTTCACCTCAAGAAGAAAACCATGCAGTAAAAAGGCACCATATAAAAGCATATAGCTACCTAGATGAGGGGTAGGTGTCTATCTATTTCTATCTATTCTATATGTATCTATATGTAGTCCCCTGAACACCTCCTTCTCTACATCTGGTCAATGTAGAGGTTCTAGAGATCTGGATGTGGGTGCCCAATTGTGCCCTGCTCCTGAGGAAGAAGGTCCTTCCTTAGGGGTTTTCACCAGGGAGGGGCTGATGCCATCAGCATGAGCTCAGAGAACCAAGTATGGAGCAACCAACAGGTCTTGTACTTCTTCCTCTCTGATCTTGCATAGTCTCTGTCTAAAAAGGCTCACTGAGGGAAATTAATACTTGCGCAGACCCTGGGGCCAGTTGTGTGCTAGTGTATCCATGCCGAGGTTGGCATTGGTCAGCAAATATCACAGAGGGGATGATGATGATGATGATGCATTTATATAGTGCGTTGTGCATTGTTGTATACCCAAAGTGCTTTACAATCATGTGAGGGGGGGTCTCTCCTCAACCACCACCAGTGTGCAGCATCCACTTGGATGATGCGATGGCAGCCACAGGACAACGGCGCCAGTGTGCTCACCACACACCAGCTACAGGTGGAGAGGAGAGAAAGAGTCATAGAGCCAATCAAGTGGCACAGAGAACAATGGGAGGATAATAAATCTGTCTGTGCCTAGCTCAATCAACTCTAAATCAGCTGGACCACTTGGAAATAGAGTCTCCTCTCTCCGGAGAGTGTAACCTGTCATGAGTGCATCTTGGCAAGGTTAAGCCACAGGTGGAGATCACATGACTCAGGGCCTGCACCATGACTTTTGTAGCCCGGAAGGCATAGTCAGTTGCTGAACGTAGTTCCTGGGTCAAAACTACCCTTGTGCAGATTTTACACTGCTCTGTCCTTATATACCTGTAGGATGGACATTGCGTGCATGGCAGAGGTGGCTTGACAAGCAGCAGTGTAAACCCTTGCGTCAAAGATGAGGTAAGCTTACATGCCCTGTAGGGGAGTCTCGCTAGATGAAGTAAATATATTTTTGGTACTGTCACACTTAATATACACTGGCCAAAATAAAAATATCTGTCTATTTTCTGTCTATTTAAATAAGCAAACATGTAAGATTTTAAGATTAAATCAGTATTGCAGTGATTTATTTTTCTTGTATGTTTGGGAATCATTTTTAATTAATATTTTATAAAAACAAATGTGCTTATGTTTAAAAATAACCATCAACCATTATAGCCATTCACTTCAGGAACACTTAGAAGAACTAATAAAAATCCTTATAGTATTTAATAGGGCCTTGCGTGGTTCAGCAAATGCATGGACATCAAAAACAATTAATCAAAATGTTTTTATTGATTTGAGTGTGGACCTGCAAAAAACATTGCACAATGTCTTAACTACATAAAGAAAACATTTCACATTGCACGAGTAACTAAGAAATTCCTTTGAGCATGAAAGACCTCAGGCTCATGTTGAGGAATCCATACTCCTCCATTCTCCTCACTACAATACTCCGGTAATCTCCACTGCTAGCATATGCTATCCTCTGCTTACCTCAGCAGCTGATTTCTTTACATTGTCTTTAAAGAATTTGTAGTTTGAGGCATATAATTCAGGGTATTTCTTTACTTCTTTTATGAGTTCTTTTTTTTAATGCTACTGAACAGTCAACTGAAGTGTGTTGCATCCTGGTACCCCTAGTAGCTGTTAGCCCATGACAGTGAATTCAGCCACAGACAACAATTTGTTGAGGGTTAAGAAAGATGAGACGTACAACAGTTATAAAGTGAATAAATAACCTGTATTTACAATTTCCACATGGAACTTAAAACAACACAATAAAACATAACCATATCCACCAAAAAGGTCTCTTTGGTGGATATGGTTGATGCTGATGAACGGGGATGAGGTGGATGATGAGGTGGTTTCTTGCTAGGGTTGATGACAGTACACTTCCTGGTCTCCACCCCACACGACTTGCAGTCCTCGACGAGCCTCCAGGTGTCGCTGCGCATTGTGGGCCACCAGGCAACTTCCAGGATCTGCAGGAGGGTCTTAAGTCGTCCATGATGTCTCTCTGCTGTCCTCTGATGGAATTGCTGTACCGTCTGTTGGACCAGGGTCTTAGGGACGACGAGCTGTATTTTGTAGTTGCCGTCCCCGTTCTGGATCCGCCGATACAGCAAGCCCTGGTGTTCCCTCACTTCGATCTTGTTGGTCGGTGGAGTGGAGGGAGAGATGGAAAGTCCCTGGAGAGTGTCGTCATCACCCTGCATGCGGATGAGTTGCTCTCTGGAGAAGGGAATGATGGAGAAGATGGTGTCGAAGTCTGGCCCAGTTGGAGGGGTGGCACAGAATTCTCCATCGGTCGCTCTGTTGGTAGTCCATGAAGTGGTTGAGGTACTGGGATTGTTGGTGGGAGGAAAGCCAGAGGTTGACTTGGGAGGCATTAGGCTGGTCATCGCAGTGGGAGGAGAGATGGAGGCTTCTGGATCCTTTGTCTGCTCCAGCTGTTTCGCGCATTTCTTGTTTCTCCTCTTAAAACACTCGAACACCTCTCTCTAGTGTCGCCACGGCATCCTTGATAGATTCCTCCATTTTGCCAAATTTAAAATCCACAACCTCTCTAAAATATACTTCACAGTTAAGATTACTTTCAACAGAGTCTTTAAAATCCTTCTCCAGTTTTAAAACAATGTTTTTAAGAGCAACCACCTCAGCACATAGCTGTACACACTCACAGTGATGTAAAACCCTTTCATCATTAAAAGAAGCAGCATTAACTTGATTTGTCATCATCTTAAAACACTTTTCTCAGCACAGCGTATAAAATCTTTAAACGTCCCCCGTACAGGCCACCATATGTAAGGATCGGCCTTATTGGAAGATGTTATGTTTGTTAAAATGAGTCAGATTATACTGTGTGAGAGCTTGGAGTTTTAAAAAAGATGAGACATACAACATGAAAGTGAATAAATAAACTGTATTTACAATTGGAAATTAAAACAACACAATAAAATTAGAAAACCTAGGCTGTTAAAGTACAAAAGAGTCTTTCAGTTCTATACCATAAAACAGTCCTTAAGAATGTGTCCCAGAAGTGTCCACCGGTGTATATACAAAAGTCCACAGTAGTGATAATCCAAAGTGCTGGAAAGGTAATTCCACAAAGGTAACTCCACTAATCCAGTTGGTAGGTGATCACTACTTGGTCGTAATGTAAGCAACGACCATGCTTGTTTGACATGCTGCCTCCTTTATACTGTCCATTACCTGTGTAAGGAATTTTTAGCTCAGTTGTAAGGGAATTAATTATTATTAATTCATTCAGGTTTATTTCTAGCTCAGGTTTTAAAAGAACTCGATCTGAGAATTCGAGGTCCACCTGATCAAAACTGATTTTGACTTTAAATGGTTTACACTTTAAATCAAGGGTCGTCCAGCGAGCCGGTGATTCTCAGTATATTTTAACAAATTAAATATGTGTTTTCCTGGCCACGGTTAACACACTTATGATAATTTGTCAGCTCTTAAGAGAGAGGTAACGTTGATCTTGGCAAAGTTTTAACCTTGAAATTATATGACACCAGACTATTGATTATTTATAAATGAAACATTAAATTTTATTGGCTATTCTAGATTACATAAAACTAAGCTAAAACACACATACACACAAACATACAGTTTCAGAGGAAGGAAATTATGTTAACGGAGTTCTGAGTTTCATAGTTCTACCTCTTTTCACGAGGGATGGGAATTCACCTTAAGAATTCACAGAGCAACG